CCTGCCCCACAGCCTCCCACTCCGCCAAATGTCCCCAACCCCTCCTCCTCCCCCACCGACCCTGACCCCCCCACTTCCTCTCAACTAGCTCTCTCTTCCCTCACCCTACACCCCCATCACCCCCACCACCCCTCCTTCCCCCATAGCCACTTCCCCTCCCCGCTACCCCTCGACCTGACCCCCCCCAGACCCTCATCCCATCCCTACCCCCCATTACCCCCTCCCCCTCCTGGTTGCCCCCCCATGGTCCTATTCACCCCTTCACTCCTCCCGCAACTTTCCAGCCACCCCTTCCCTGCCCCCCAACTGACCCTCCTCCCCTGACCCTCTCCTAAAGGAGCACCCCACTGTGGAGTGTGGGGGGCAGACAGTGACACACAGACCTCCGCTCAGCTTCCCACCCCAGGTTCCCCCCTCCCCACAGGACTTACGGGGCAGGATCAGCCGAAGCGGGGGGGGGGCTCCGTCCGGGGTGGGATTCTGACTGCCCCCCCAGGGGTTCACTCCACGCTGGCCGGCCGGGCCCAAGTGCCGGGCACCTCGGGCATCGTTTCCCGCCCCCCCAGCCCTGCCGCCCGCGCCCAGCTCTGGGAATTAGCGCAGGGGCCAGGCAATCCGCCCAGGGCACCAAGAGCGCCCCAGATTAGCTCCGGGGGGCCCCGGGGGCTGTCAAAGGCCATTAGCCAAATCCCTTCTGGCTGGCTTTGGGGAATCAAAGGGCATTGGCTGGCCCTGCAGCACCCTCCCTGCCTGCCACAGGGAGAGAACCCAGGAGTCCTGTCTCCCAACCTCCCTCGTCTAACCCACCAGCCCCCATTCCCCTCCCAGAGGCAGGGAGAGAACCCAGGAGTCCTGGCTCCAAGCCCCCCCTGCTGTAACCACCAGCCCCCACTGCCCTCCCAGAGCCAGGGAGAGAACCCAGGAGTCCTGGTTCCCAGCCCCTGTTCTAACCATTTGACCCCTCTCCCTTTGCCCATGAGTGTCCGGGAATGGGGCAGAGCCGGCTGCTGGCATGACAGGAGAGGGCAGATTTGGGGGTCCCCCTGTCACAGAGTGTGGGGGGACACAAAGCCCTGCACTCTCAGCCAGCCAGTAAAGCAGAAGGTTTATTTAGACGACAGGAACACAGTCCAAGACAGGTCTTGCAGGCACCAACAACAGGACCCCCCTCAGTTAGGTCCATCTTGGGGTCCCAGAGGCACCACAGCCCCATTGGGAGGTCAGAGCCCCGTCTGGGCTCCTTCCATTACCAGCCAGCTCCTGACGAC